ACACAGAGAAAAAGGTTTATTTACACGAAACAAAAATTATTTGTCATAAACAAATTTGTTGTTTGTATATGGCGAAGCAAATATTTATTTCACTGATCTAAATAGTTTGTTTGATTTCTTCAATAAAATATTATGTTCAATTAATGCTATAAAGATACACGATGTAAATAATTTGGTCTTTGAATAAACTATGCATTTTTTCAACGTAACTTGGTCATCTCTTTGGCGTAAAACCGATATATTTTAATTGAATGCAATTAATGTATTGAATGTAACAAAATATTATTTGAATCGAGACTTAAAACACTTTGTTTCAAATAAAGAGGAGTTTTGTTCAAAAAAATGATTTATTTATTGCAAAGAACCTATTATTCAGCCTATGGGTCAATTTATTTAGCACAAACTTTAAACTTGTTTCAACCAAAGTAATTTTTGTTTATATTAAAAGATATTTATTACTTTTCGTAATAAAATTTATTTCAATAGAAAAAACGTTTATTCTAAGCAAATATATATTTATTTAATGTAATACTACTTATTTCAGTGCTAGGTGGAAACTATACATAATATACAATATTATATAATATATAAAACAAAAATTAAAAACTTAATAACACATTCTTTGGCAATAAAAATAGTATTGTCGTATATAGAAAAAAAATAAAACATGATCCTTATTGAAGCGCACATATGACTTTAGTTCCGTTTGCCATAGTATGAATGTTATGACATAAGTGGTTTAGAAGGCGGTCTATGGGCATAACGATCAAATTTATTGAATCATGCGTTGACATAGAATCTAACACTTCGTATCCACCGATATGAGTATTTAGACCGATTAAATGAAGTGGCTGAATTATTAAAAAAAATATATTTTGCATTTTGTTTCCAAGTATGTATTTTATTGTGCCAAACTGTGGTAGATCCGAGGGTAGATCAGTTTCTTCGTCATTATTAATTTGAGAAGCATACCCTAATTTATATTCAAAACTATTTACTTTTAGCCAAGACGTATGAAACAGATTATCAATTTCTATTTGATTCTTTTCGAGTAATTGTTTCAAAATAAAAAAATCTTTTAATGATGCAAGATCCTCAAAATTTCCACAAGTAATGTTGTCATTAAACCCTTGTCTACTTAAAAATCTATATGAAAGTCTGAGCTGCTGTTTAGTAGCTAATGTAAGAAGAATATTTTTTCTGGAAGTTACAGAATTTGCAGTAGATTTTAAAACTTTGTGAAATGCTTCATATCTCATTGACCAAATATGTCTCAAAGGTCCTAAATTCAAAATAACTGTAGGATAATGGATCATGAAATGGTGTTTTGGTTTTAATGTCTGATCAAATAACTCGCAATATAATCTGTGGTGTTCTACAATTAAAATTTCAAGATACTCTATTGTCTGTTTTGAAATGATTCGACTGAGTAAAATATCTATTATTTGATACAGTATAGTATACAATTCCCAGCAACTGTCCTTTTCTGGAACTAAGTCAGCAATAAGTATGCCGAAATATGAAAAAAACCCTAACATTTGCGAAGCACTCATTATAAGGTACTTTTTTTTAATATGTTCAGGTTTAATTTCAACCAATGGATTTCCTATATCGACTGCAGCAAAATTAAAATAACAAATTCGATTATTTAAATTATCTAAAGTGAAATATTTTTTTGTCAGTAAGTGGTCAATCAAATAAGCCATTTCATATCGTAGGATACCTTCCAAAATATCGTGCATGATATCGCATGATGTATTCCTAGCTACTGAAAAATTTGGTAATTGATTAAAGATACAGGGTTCTTTTATGCCAGCTGAAAGAGTTTCAACATCTTGGAGATAATTTTCTTCTGTACGAATTTGGGAAGGGTCCTCCACAAATTGAGTTTTGCTTTCAGCTTTGGTACTTTTGCATATACGACAAAAATTATTTGCCTGAAAACTCTCAGTAAACCCTAAAATTGAATTAAGTCCTAAATTATCACCAAGAACGGTTACAACAGTGAAATACACATTAATTTTTTTGGCATTAAAGTTTATGGTTATGCCTTGGGTTTCAAGAAATATCAACTCGTCCATTAGTTTCGAAAATATCTTTTTATTACCAAAAGCAGTTCGATCTGAAGAGTAAAATAAGCAACATACCAAAATATTTTCCAATAATGTAGCAAGCTCGGGAGGAATACAAGCCAAGGACACATAGGTTGCTCCAATTTTGTATACACCGGCTTTGCTTCCCAGAGGGTTGCAACATTCAAAGTCGTCGAAATAAATTAGTAGTGGTAGTATAATTTTATCATTTGGATACTTTTGCACTAAATTCCTCCATATTTGGCCTTGAAACACACTTGATAGTAAATGCGGTGGAAGTGACATTTCTTTTTGCATGTAGGACATTATAGTTTGAAAAATATTTGGTAATTCTAAAAACAACTTAAAAATTTTCCTTAAAGGAATAATTTGACCTTCTATTTTTTTAAATGTCATTGCAGTGGAATTAGAAATGTCATTTCTTGATCTTAATTTTTGCAATGACGGCTGCTCTCCAATTATAAAAGTTTCTGGTTTTATATAAGTATTCAAATTTGTGAAGTACTTAAATCGTAGGTACTCACTACCAAGTTCTTCAAGAACATTTAATAAATCCGAAAAAACGTTTGAAATTGCCAAAACATGTTGAGATGTTAATTCTAATTGTTCCATTATAGACTTTAAATATGTAGACAGATTTCTCATCAATTCTGTAACACTCTCAACTACAAGTTGAACAATACTCCTTGGTAATGAAGACATACTGTACAGGCGTCCTATTAAAGCAACAATTTCATTTATGAGAGGATTATCCGAGAGAGTGTCGGAATTAAATTTATCATCATCATTGCAATGTGCAACGGGTGCTTCAGATTGAGAATCGGGATTTGTGCCGGAACTCTGTGGAAGATTAAGTAGTTGTAATGGAATTGCACCTCTAGTCTCATTAGTAATCGGATGAAAATGTGTATTGTTTATATGTTTGCGGAAGCTTGCAAGACTACAAAACTCCCTACCACAGTTTGCTTGCACACATTTAAAGTTATTTAACAAGGAGTGTATAATTTTTAAGTGATTCAATAAATTCTCAGGGGACGAACATGTTTTTTTACATTGGAAACAAACAAATGTTGCTTTAAGTTCAGCCATTTCACTGTAAAAGGTCTTGAATGAAGGGAATTTTTATGTCGCTTGCAGTTTTTATTCTGTAAGAACAAAATTGTAATAAATACCATATATGTTGGCATTCAAAAGGATATTTGACATCCAAGACATGAAATGACTTAAAGCAAACATCTATTGCTTCATTAACAGATAATGTTTTATACATAAAATTATTAATAACAACATACGAAGAAGTGATATTGGTTAATGCAGGACCTACTAGTAAAATATACGGCTGCACAGTAAGACCCATTGCATACATTGCGTCAATTTTCGTCGACTTGCACCTCTCAATATCGCCAGGAGTGTACGCATGTATAAAAAGTCCATTTTTACATTCTGCAGTAGATGGCTTCCAATGGCCTTTGCCTTTCACCCTCGTCCTTCCTTTAGGAGGTACTAACAGTGGCAACAAAGACAACTTCACTGCATTCTGGGAGTCTGCAAATACAATTTCAAATTAGAATCCACGTAGTACGAATGTGAATCGCTTTTTGAGCAGAGATGAGGCAAGTCTCGTCTTATACAATTCATGTATATATGCAATAGTTTACCTGTAGTTAAATTCTCGCCATTCAGCAAATCCAGTAAAGCTGTATCCGAAGCAGAAAAATGCTTTCGCCTTTTTTCTAAAATGTTTTCAAAAAATTCATCGAAATTCAGTTGCGTGTACGAATCTATAATACTATCGAAATCTCTTAGAATCTGTGAAAAATACATTAATTATAAAGTTGTATAAAGCAAATTAGGGTTTAGTATTACCAGTTCTACTGCAATTTGGTTTTTAAGTATTGGCCACTGGTCAAAAAATTGAGTAACAGATTGGTCACTGTGATCCTTTCGTCGAAGTTGAAAGGACTTCTCCCAGTGCTGTATCACTTCATGTAAAGGCTCTGAGTTTAGTTGCAGCCAAATTTTACTGTCCTTTTGACCTTCCGAAATTTCTGAAAAGGTACAAATGAGAAAGAAATTGTTAAAATATATTATGACTGGCTTACCAATACTTTGCTGATTAACACCTGTTTGTGGGGGATGCAGTTCAGTAAACTCTTGGGCACGCCTTAACGCCGTTAATTTATTTCTGTGTTTATCAACCAATTTTCCTCGTGCTACAATTGGCTTATTCAAAGAGGAATGTTTTTTGGGGATTGGGTCTACATAATATGTGGCCTTCTTCTCAGTCGAAAACAATTCTACTATTTTGTCCGCAATAAACGAAAGGGATTCGTTATTCAGTCTTTTCCCCTTATTTAAAAAATGCGTTATTATAATTTCACAAATTACATTTCTGTCTTTATTAGAGAATGTGTGAAGATGTTCAAATTTTTTTAGAAGCGTTTGCCCAATAGCGTCATTTTGTAAAATATCTTTGAGGACAAAGGTGCAGTCGTCCACGGAAATCGTGGAAATAAAAGAGGAATTAAGGCCGCAATCTTCGTTAGAAAGGTTTGTAATCGTGCTAGCAGAAGCCGTGGATGGTGTGTTTACCACCCAAAATACTTCAGGCGTGCCAATATTTTCCGACTGCGGAATATTTTCTTGTTCAGTAGAATGGAACCTTTTTGGTGACACGGATGGTGAATGTTCTATCTCTTCATCGGCAACCCTTTTCTAAAATAAGATGAAATCTTAAAGTCTAATAATAAAAATTAAAATACTTAATTACATTATTTTCGTTGACAGAAGGGCTCTGTAATTGCAAAAGACCTTTTCGAAAACGAATTTGGTCCCCGATGCGTGGGATAAGGCTGCCGATCTGCACATCAGTAAGAAGTGGCAAAAATTCAATTTCGGTAACGTTCTGTTCTACAAAAAATGAACTAATAAACATATTACTCAAATACAGCATGGGGGGGGGGGGGAGGTTGATAATTGACTAACTATCACAACGTCGATATAATAGCCTTGAAACGAACTTTGATGTAAGGAGAAAAAGTTACAGCTGATTCAAGTCATTTGAAACATTATAGGTACCTATTGCAGGCAAAATTGTTTCAAGTACAATTTCTCAAATTACTTCCAACAGTACCTGAATATACATATCTATAATTTATTACATTGGTTAGAGATCTTCACCAAAGAGCGATGACTGAAGATAAAGTAATATAAAATAAATAGCATTGGCTTTTCACGGTTTGCATTGTATGCATATCTATTTAAGGCTACATATAAGTAAGTTGGAATAGTATTGTTAAAAAAATGTTTCTTACCTGTAAAAGATGGTAATAGATGGTGTAAATTGTTTTTCACTAAAAACTCCTCCATTTATATATAGGTACTTAAAACTTCAAACAAAAACCACAGCTTAAAAACCTCAAGATGTTACCATACGAAGACGCAACGAAATAATGGCGCATGACTCAATCGTTATGATGCATTTGCGAAATAAAGTACCTACCTACTTGTAACAAAACAATTATTTGTTGAATCAAACAAATATTCCTTTGAATTAAACCATAACGCAATTTTCGTTCCTCGAAACAAATGTTTCTTTCCTAAAAGATTTTATAATATCGATCCAGCTCATTAACAAACAATTTATTTCTTATAAACAACGTTATGTTTAAACTTCGCAAGTGTGAGTTAGTATTGTTAAACAAATTCTGAAATCCATTCAAACAATATGATTTTCTTATTTCAAAAGGCAAATGGTTGGGCAAAATAAATGTTTCTTGATTCAAGTAAATGTCGATCAAATAAACGTTTATTTGATTTTTCAATGGGCAGTTTTTTCTGTGTATATATACAAAACTATGGCGGGGAATTTTTCACGGCTGCGCAGAGCGAATGTGGTTTGCGTTTGCCCTCGATGGTCGCCATCCGTTGATGGTCTGTGGCCGCCATTAAATTTACGTGTTTTGGTGTTTACGTAGGTGCATTTTTTTAAATTAATCGTGTCGTTAAGTACCCAAGAATTATAAATTGCAAGGTATGTCTTAAGATTCACTATTATTTACTCTTCTTTGTATAAAGGTTATTCATTAAATTGCTTACAATAACCATCAACATAACCAAAATAGTTTGTTTTCCTTGTGTTTTTCTACAACCCACAAAATGTCATTAATCTTACGATACGGACATCGAATTCGTAAAAATCTTAGCTATTTACCTATATCAGCGGATAGGAATGAAACTGATTTTGTCGTATAGTCTTCAGGATGCCAAATCCGAGAGCAAATCGATCAAAAAGGCAAACAAACCGAATCTTGCATAAACAGGTAAATGCAGCAATGCTTGAAATCAAACAATCCGCAGCTAGTCGTAACAATATTTGTGTTGCTACTGAGCCCCATAAGAATAAACCATTGAAGATTTCAACCCCACATCATGACGATGATATCGTTTGTATCGAAGTTCCTACCGAAGATGCAGGCCGTAATGAATTAGTCAGTAATATCGATAGTTTCGATGGTAAGTTGTTTTATGTCTTAGATTACACATGCCAAGTAACTAGTGTAGTTAGTCAGATTCAGTAGTATCACAGATTTATTATTTAATATTCTAGAATCTTCTCTCGATGATAATGCATTTGAGGATATTATGGAAGTAAATGAGACTGAGTTTTCGGTGAATGATTCAATAAATGAAATGCAAACTTTAGATGAAAAATTGAGGGTGTGGAGCACAGAAGAAAATGTACCTCATTCTACATTTAGAAAACTCCTAGAAATTCTTAAATCAGAAAATGATATAAATGCATTTAAAAATCTACCAAGAGATCCCCGCACCCTATTGAACACACCAAGAAAAGTATTGGTGAAGACATTAGATAATGGAAGTTTCTATTATTTTGGCATCTCGGACACTTTAAATAATTTGTTATTGCAATTAAAATATACTATACCAGTTAACACACCGCTAATTGAAATAATAGTTAACATTGATGGATTACCATTAACATCTAGTTCAAACAGTTCATTATGGCCAATATTAATTAAAATAGATTCCTTATTACATATTAAAAATTATGTTGTAATGGTGGCTGTTTTTCATGGATATTCAAAACCTTCTTCAGCCAACGAGTTCTTGAAAGACTTTATTGATGAAGCAGTGAATTTATCAAATAAAGGTATTTTTCTTTCTGGGAACAATTATCCTTTTCGAATCAAAATGCTGGTTTGTGATGCCCCTGCTAAATCATATGTTTTGAATGTCAAAGGACATACTGCAGAAACTGGCTGCACCAAATGCTATCAAACTGCTGAAAGAATTAACAATGTAATGTGTTTTCCATGGACAGCTAAGCGGAATTTACGGAGTGATTATGAATTTAGGAATTGCTCTCAAGATAATCATCATCAGGGTACGACTTTGTTCACAAGTTTACCAAAATTTGACTTAATCAAAGATGTGCCTCTTGACTACATGCACTTAGTATGTTTAGGTGTAATGAAGAGGTTACTATGTCATAAAAATTTTGGTTGGATTCAAGGAACTTTTTTACACAAACTTTCTGCAACTCAGCAAGGTGAAATATCGAAAAATCTTAAAGATTGTAATAATTTTATTGTATGTGAATTTTCTAATAGAAAAGCTAGATCTTTACAACATTGTGCACGTTTTAAAGCTGTAGAGTTTAGATTGTTATTATTATATACAGGACCTGTTGTATTTAAGAAATTTCTCAAACCTGATTATTATTATAATTTTTTAAATCTGTATATTGCAATGCGAATATTGAATAGTGAGGATTATGGTACATCTACAGATATGTTGGTATATGCAAAAGCTCTTTTGGATGCCTTTGTTAAGGACAGCGGAAGAATATATGGCCCTGATTTTATATCATTTAATGTTCATAATCTTCTTCATTTAGTAGATGATGCTGAAAGATTTGGGCCTGTACATAATTTTTCAGCTTTTGATTTCGAAAATTATATGCAGATACTTAAAAAGTTAGTAAGGAAACAAGATAAACTTATTCAGCAAATAGTTAAGCGTGTGTCTGAACGAATATCTTGCAAGATAGATCGCCCTCAATTTTTTATGGAGTATCCCCAGTTTTTAAATGAGCATTCAAAGGGTCCTCTGTTAAGACATTGTTGCTCACCACAATTTATGATTGCAAAACTTAAAGGTTACACGTTTAAATTAAATTTAAGGGATTGTTATGCTTTGTTAAATGATAAAAATTTAATTAAAATTTGTAATTTTGTTACTCTTGGAAATGCCATTTGTGCCATTGGCCAATCTTTCACAAAAATTCGACCTTGGTTTAATAGACCTTGTTCATCGGAATTAGTGGGTGTGTGGTGTATCAATATAAACCATTTTAGTAATCTAAAAATGTATAATATCAGTGATATCCGTTGTAAGGTAATGATATTACCATATAATGATAATGAATATATTGCAACTGCTTTGTTACATTTGTAAGATATTGGATGTAAAAATTCACAAGGAAAATTACTAACTTGTCAGTTTTATTAATACTTATATCTTTTTGCTACATTTAGTATTATTTATTATGTATATTATAGTATTAACTTCTGGTTGGCAACATGCAGTGGTGTGTAGTGTTTTTCCATTTTGACAAAACAATTGAAGTAGTGCCGGAACATTGGGTGTTCGATGATGACAACACCATATGCCATTTTCCACCTGTCAAAGGTTTTAGACTTTATGAAATTATTAAAAGTGGCACTTCTCCAAAAGAGGATTGGAAGGTGTATGATGTCAATATGTTAGCAAAATATGGTTTGTATTAGTTTTGGTTCCCAATCACAAAATTTTGTTAATCTACATTTAATTTTTAGATGATTTTACATATGCCCAAACACAATGTGAAGCAGCTAGAAATGGGAAGAAAATTTTCAGCCAAAAAACAAAGACAATGCTTGATGGCATGGATGGAAAAGGACAGAGAATACGTAAACCTAATACAAAATTTAGTGAGTTTATGAACATTAATACAGATGACGAAGAATTAAATACTAATATAACATTTCCAACATTTAAAGGATCTAGTATGTATACACATTCCCCTATCTAAAAATTATTAACTTGATTGATTTTTAGATCCGAAAGAGTGCAAACAAAATACAGCAGGTAATATTGTGCTTTAAACTTCCGAGTTTGTATTTCATTGTTTCACATTTTAGATAACAATAAAGTAACAGAGAATGTCCCAGAGGATTTCTATACAGAAAGTGATAATGTATTGGAACCCTATACAGCACAGAGTGAAACTAGTGAAACTTCACATCATTCCAGTGCGTATGTTTCCATGATTATAAATTTTATTTTTGTAATTTTCAGATATAATGGATAATATATATCTAGATTCAAAAAATGAAGGTGACATTTTTTGTTTAAGTACCGACTGCTAGTCAGATATTTTACAATATATTTACAGAGTTTCAGCGTAAAGTTATGAGAAATCAGTATGCTCTTCAGCATAAATTAAATGACTTGGAACGTGTAATATCGGAATCTGCAAATATAAGAAAATCAAACATTAACCAAGTAACAGATGAGGAATCCGAACAGGTTCTTTCTATTTGGAAATTATTTCCACTTGATAGCGTACAAGCCTTGGAAGACGTGGAAAATTCTTTAGCGGACCAACAGCTGCAACAACATTTGGTTGGTAGATGCACTATACAAACATAATTCTTATAATTATTTTTAAGGCTCTGAAGTTTTCATTGGTAGGAGGAGAAACGGCAAAAGATATAACACGAAGAATATTATATTTAATGTTAACAAATGATGTGGCAAAACTGTATAGTTTTGACGGAGCAAAAGGAAAATTAAAATTTAAATCTTTGAAACTGTATCATTTGTTATTAGGTAAGTTATAGCAATGCATTTTTAACTCATATTTCTCTTTACCTATGTTTTACAGCATCAATTCGGAAGAATCAAAAAACGCATGACGCAACAGAAAGCGACATACTACCAGAAACCAGGCAGTGGCTGGCACAAGCAAAATTTAGGAAACAAAAATAATTTTATACTTTATTTTTGTTTTAAATACTTACAAAATAAAATCCATTTTATTGAAATCTTTTGAGTAATGTATGTACTCGTAGAAAACCACAGGTGCACCCTTTTTAAATGATAGTAAGCTATTTAAATTTTGTTTCAGCCTTTGGTTAAATTTGTACCTTTGTAAATAAGAAATTTGTTAATATTTACAAGTTGTACTGAAAGCTCTAATAAAATGTAAGTAGGTCATCAAAATCAAAATGCAGGTTTAAATGTTTATGGAATATTAAGAAATATTTGGAACAATATGATATAAATGTATTACAAACATTATAACAACATTATCAGAAAGTATGCCAATATTATGATAGCATTTATACATGTTTTACAAATATTTAAAAAATATTTTAGTAAATGTGTAGAAAATATTAGAAGTGGGACATCTAGATGTTTCCTAAATGTTTTGAAAAGGTTTGGAGGCAAATGTTAAATATTCTACCAATATTTCATAGATTTGAACAAAATCTTTATTATATGTTATAGATATGTTGGTGTGCTATGTGGGGTTGAACGTGAAGATGAGTAAAACTTATTACTTTGCAATCATTCTAGGGGTACGTTTTTTTGGGTAAATACGTTATCCTACACAGAATATTTTGTAATACGTAATTTTTTTTTTTATCCTATACAAGGAGAAACTTACATTTTCTCGCCTGTGTGAGGACGCGAAAGAAGACAATTGCACGCATGGAGCGAGAAAATTCAATTTTGTCGGCTAGGCGAGAAAAAAATACGCCTTATGTAAGCTAGATGGCGCGGTTGTAATAAAATGTCAAAGAAGTTATTTCTTTTTAATTAAATAAGAAACATAAAATCGTCAACACTGATTTAATAATTAAATTTACCCTATGTTCACTTTATTTTACTGAATTCAAGGATTTATTTAATTACCGCGCACCTATAATACAATGTTTCGTGAATTGGAATACTTTCCCAATATCACGTGACCAATTCAAACGTTTCAAACTTAGTCATAATCTCCCATTTACTTTCAATAACGAGCATATGTGTCAATACATTTAACACCAAGATGCACTTTGCACTGTAAGTAGAACACCGCTTATCCGTAATAAGTACCTAGCATTTTAACATACGTGATACGAGACTACCCCGAAGTTAAAATGTGTCCAGTGTGACTGTAAGGAATGAATAAATCTATTTATAAAACACGTTTTTTTAAAATACAAGATCATCAAGGATTTAAAGTGTGCCCATTGCGCTTTCGTCGCCAAGCATAAATCCAGTGTTAAAAGCATGTAACATTTGACAAGACATGGATACTGTATTGTTTGTTGTGTCTCGAAGGACCACTCCAATTAAGGAGAATAATATCAAATTTGTTGAATTAAATGAACTGTATTGAAATTTTTAATGGTACGTTGTGACATTTCTATTTGTATTCAAAAATAACAAACTCTAATAATGAATACTAGATTAAAATTAGTGCAAAATTGCACATACGCCGAACCCCTTGAAAGATCTGCTTTCAAAGCAATATAAAAACAATATGTTATGGTAAGTAATACAAATTCTTCCAATGGAAGCTTTATAAAAACAATAATTGTTAAGTTGATTGTTCAATAGAAATTTCCTTATCTTCTATTGGTAACACACAAATTTTAGCTAACGTACGTTTGAATACACTGCCACTTGATACCTTTACCGATACTACCCGCACCACCTTATCTGCTCCTGGATGAAGCTGTACTATACGTGCCATTGGCCATCGAAGTGGTGAAGTATTTTCTTCCATTAGAATAACGAGAGCTCCTATTTTAATTGGACTCTGCTGGTCGTGTTTCCATTTACGTCGTTGTTGCTTTTGTGTCAAATATTCATGCGACCATCTACTCCAATAATGCTGGAATAGCTGCTGTAACCGTTGGTATCGTGACAATCGTGTAATCTTGATTTCTTTAAGATCTGCTTGTGAAATCGCAGCTAATGTTTCACCGATTATGAAGTGAGCCGGTGTGAGTGGTAAATAATCGTCAGGGTCATCGGAAAGAGGAGTCAATGGACGTGAATTAAGACATGCCTCGATTTGTGTTAAAACTGTTATCATCTCTTCATACGTTACATTTGCATTTCCTAATATTCGAACTAAATGAAATTTAGTCAAACGAACTGCAGACTCCCATAGACCTCCCATATGAGGCGATCTAGGAGGAATAAAATGCCAAGTAATTTTTTCGTGTGATAAAAAATTTGAAACCTTCTCATTATGATCCGAATTTTGAGTTAATTCGTAGAGTTCACGAAAATGATTATGAGCACCTACAAAATTGGATCCATTGTCCGAGAACACATCACTTGGCTTGCCTCTCCGCGATATAAAACGCTTTAGTGCATTTATAAAACTATCAGTGGAAAGATCGTTTACTAGTTCAATATGAACTGCGCGAGTTGCGAAACATACAAAAATACATATGTATGTTTTTACCAATTTGAATTTGCGTAAAATTCCATCTTTCACAAAAATTGGTCCGGCATAATCTATGCCACACTTGGAAAATGTTCTACTGGGTATTACTCTAGCAGTTGGTAAATTCCCCATTAGAAAACTTGTAGGTTTTGGATTTGCCCTGAAACATCGTACGCAAGACCTGATTACACCCTTCACTGCATTTTTTCCATGAATGGGCCAATATTTTAAACGAATTATTGATAGTAAATTTTGTGTCCCAGCATGTAAATGTTTCAGATGTTCGTGTTTAATGATGAGTTTTGTAAAAATATGTTTACCGCATAAAATTATGGGAAACTGGTTTTCGTAGTTGAGTAGAGAATTTTTCAATCTCCCTCCTACTCTAATAACACCATGTTCATCTAAAAATGGATGTAAAGAAATTAATTTACTATTATTATTTAATGGCTGTGATTTCTGAAGAAGTCTGATTTCCTGTGAAAACTGTTCATGTTGAGCAATCTTAATTAAAGCTGTAAGTGATATTTCGAGTTCTGAAACTGATAAAATATTTGTCAATGTCTTGTTTTTTCCCAAAGTAATGTTTTTGAATTTGAAGCAATATGCTACTACCCGTTGCAATTTACTTAACGTTGAATATCTAGTAAAGAGATTAAATTGATCATCCCGAACATTTAATAGAGTTAGTTTGATGTCTGGTAATGATGATATAGGTTGTTCAATAAAAATATCTGATTCAGATTCCCCGCTGAATATAAAAGAAGGTCCCTGCCACCAAATCTTCAACTGTGAGAGTTGTGCTGGATTGATACCACGTGAAATAATATCGGCCGAGTTATACTCCGATTTTACATGTCTCCAATTATCCTTATCTGTTAATTCGTTAATTTTTATTACCCTGTGTGCTACAAATGGTTTAAGTTGGCTAGGATCTATTTTTATCCATGAGAGTACTATGGTTGAATCGCAATAATAAACTATTTTTGAAATTTTAATTCCCAGAGATGAGATTACATTATTTGCAAGTTTTGCTAATAAAACTGCAGCTAATAATTCTAGTCTTGGTAATGTAACTTTTTTTATAGGTGCAACCCTGGATTTAGCACATAAAAGATGTGAGTAATAATTACCGTATTTGTCTATTGATACTAAATACAAGCACGCACCGTATGCCTTTTCAGAAGCATCGCTAAAACCGTGAATTTCAACGCGTGTTGCCTCTTCACATACTACATGTCTGCGTATTTTTATATCGTGTAATGATTTTAGTTGTTCTACAAATGTGATCCAAGAAAGACGTAGTTCTTCTGGCAATGGTTCATCCCAACCGAGTTTTAATGTCCATAATGTTTGTATTAATATTTTTTGTTTTATAATGGCTGGAACAATAAGTCCCATCGGATCAAATATTTGACTAATTATTGAAAGTACGTGTCGTTTGTTAATTAGTGTAGGAATAGATTTTATGTTTACCGAATAATGCAGTGTATCTGAAATCGAATTCCAGACCACACCCAAGGTTTTTAACTCCTTGCCTTCGCAAAATTGAACCAATTTTTCATCATTATTTCCATTTCCTAAAATATCATAAAGAATGCGTTGATTATATTTGATGACCATTTCCTTAATTGAAAACCTGCAGTACTAAAAATGACTGTAAGCTCTTTATATAATTGCAAAGCTTCTTCGATGGTATCTACACTAACTAACAAATCGTCAATGTAAAATGAATTTTTAATTATTTGAGCTGTTTTTGGATAACTTTCTTCATTATCAATTGCCAATTGCAGTAAACAACGTGTACTAAGGTATGGCGCACATTTTGTTCCGAAAGTTAATGTGTTAAGAGTGTATGTCATGATAGGCTGTTGTCGTTCATATCGCCATAAAATTTGCTGATACTTTCGATCATGTGGATGCACTAAAATCTGCCTAAACATCATTTTACAATCGGCGTTTAACACAATTTTTCTGAGTCTTAACCTAATGATAATATGGAATAAATCGGACTGATCGGTCCCATGAGCAACCGGTCGTTGAGTGAAATATTATTGCTAGTTTTTACTGAAGCATCAAATACTACCCTACATTTAGTCGTAGTACTGGATTCTTTTATTACTGCATGATGCGGTAAAAAATGCGATATTTCTTCGATACTTTTTGAGTTATTTGTATTAGGAGACATATGACCTAATTGTTCATATTCCAGCATAAATTTGTGGTACTCATTTTTGAGATTTTTATTCCTTTCTAATCGCGATTCGGTTGCGTGAAATCGTTTTAAGGCTATTGACATTGAATTACCAAGTTCATCTATCTTATCTGAAAATGGCAATCTTACAATAAATCTACCTTCTGCATTACGTGTTGTCGTTTCTTTAAAATATGTTTCACAATACTGCGCTTCTGATGTTAGTATTTGTTTTTGTGGCAATTCCTCCACTTCCCAAAACTTTAACAAATTTTTATTAAGTGTTTCGTTTGAAATTTCTGTGTTAAGATTACAAATTGATCTACGTACTATCGCGTGGTTGAGATTAACCGTCCCTGACAAAATCCACCCGAGTTGTGTCTTTTGCAATGTAGGTTTATCCTTACCTAACTTTATTTGATCGTGACATAATAAATCATAGAACAAATTAGCACCTAATAAAATATCTACACTTTTGGAGATGTTAAATTCTGGATCTGCTAAATTCAGATTGCGTGGAAGTACAACATTTCTAGAATCAAAACTTACTAGAGGCAAGTTTTTAGTTATGTTTGGTACGACTAAAAATGATACTCTAGCTTGAAATGAATAAAATTTTGATTTGATATTTGTGGTTGCTTTTTGCGTAATATTAGTAGATGCTTGATTAATACCTTTGAGATGTAAACTGAATTCTTCGAGATTTAATTGCAATTTATTGCATAGTTTTTGCGTGATTAAATGACTTTGACTTCCAGAGTCTAATAAAACGCGACATTTGTGTGACCGTCCAAAACGGTCGTCTATGAAGACTTCTGCTGTTGATAGTAAAACTTCGGTTTGGCAAATGCCTGTAAATGAATGATATGTACGAGTAATATTTTGTGATTCGCTTGGTTGTTGCTGTGATGTTTCACTATTTATAACCTGCATAACTGATGATTGTGCTTGATGGATGTTTGCAGCTGTATCGTTGCGAGCATTGTGAGATGTGTTGAACTTATGGGCATTAAAATTGTCATCATGTAATAACGTATTGTGAGATTTGTTGCATTTTCTACATTTACTAGAGTGACAAGAGTTTTTGAGATGTCCTGAGCGTAGGCAATTGCTACATAATTTCATTTTTCTGATCTGTGAGAATTTTTCCTCTGTGGGCAAATTTAGAAATGCATAACAATTGTAAATATAATGATTATTTTTGCAATATGGGCATAAAATGGTATTCGTTATAGCAAATGAATGTTCCCTATCCTTAAAAGGCTTTGAAAATTGGGGTAATTGTTTGTTTGGGATTGATTTTGTGTTGTGAATATTTGTTTGTGAATGATTATACAAAGTTTCGAGGGTAAAACATCTTTTTGTTAAAAATTCTATGAATTCCTGCAATGTGGGAAGAGAATTTGTTGGTAACGAATTTTCCCATTCTTTCTTCATTGCTTGATCGATTTTGGTTGAAATAAAATAAATGATTAATTGATCCCATTCCTTCGTGTTAACATTTAGTTTTTCTAATGAGCTCATGTGTTGGAAAACACTGTCTAGTAACTTGCGTAATAAAATATAAGAATCCTTTGTGACTGTGGGCAATTCGAATAATGATTTTATGTGACTGTTGACAATAACACGTTTGTTTTCGTATCGTTTCTTGAGCATATCCCAAGCTACGTCATAGTTATCTGAAGTAATTTCTAATGATTGTACTAGACGATGTGCATCACCCTTTAAACAACTTTTTAAATAGAACATTTTCTGTATTTTATTTAAATTTTTGTTTTCGTGAATCAATGATGAAAATGTGTTTTCAAAGTTTACAAATGTATCATACGAACCATGGAATTCTGGCAAACTCAAGCGAGGCAATTTGAGATTTGTGACTGAATCCACTTGACAGTTTTCGTGTACACCTGTTTGAAGAAATTGATTACTACCCTCTGGTGAGGAAGTCGTGCCTATTTTAACATTACTTATTAAATCGTTCGCAAGCGACATGTTTTCGAAAAACGAATTTTCAATCTGATCGCGATCAGCTGATTCGTTTTGATCAAGCAATTCTAACTGATTTTGAATGATATTATATTCCTGAAAATCGGATTGAATTTTATTCAATCGTAACTGTAACTGCGTGATATCTTTCCTGTTCTCTGGTTTATTGAGAAAGGTAACAAATCGTGTTAATGATGCCTTTATAATAGCCCGTGAATGTCGTAATGATGTTATTTCTTTTCCTGGCTCCATCATGAATATATTCAAATGAAATTGTTCTGCGTAAATAATAAATCTATCTAAAAAAAATCAAATGTTACGTATTTGGAATGAATTAAAATGTGCAAAAAGAATATGATAATATGAGAACATAAACATACAATAAATCGAGATATGTCTCGTTTACCGGAAGCCAATTGAAGCAGATCACAACTGGAAAATCACTGTCGATTCTTAGATTGTTGATGTCACCTTCTATCCACGGCATGCAAATTGATTTTCCATGCGTTACTGCTGCAATATTTCTTACGAATTCCAAACTGTATCCACTTGCGAATGATGATAGGTACTGATTGATGATCTTGCTGGTGTCGCACTATATCCGGCTCGAATATGGCCAAAAATTATGTATTGTTTGTTGTGTCTCGAAGGACCACTCCAATTAAGGAGAATAATATCAAATTTGTTGAATTAAATGAACTGTATTGAAATTTTTAATGGTACGTTGTGACATTTCTATTTGTATTTTTTTTAATAACAAACTCTAATAATGAATACTAGATTAAAATTAGTGCAAAATTGCACAGATACTGCGAAGGATTTAAAATGTAACCGGTGTGATTTTGTTCCTGAAAACACACATTCAATTTTAAAACACATTTGTTAATACACAAGACCAGTAATAATTTCAAATGCGCCTGGTATTAATTACAACCCCTTAAATCCCGTTATTTTCTAAGGAAATAATCACGCGCCAGTGAAATGCCGGAAATGTCAACTCAGTTCGCACATGATCAGTTTTCTCCACTTGCACATCTGCTCTGTTGCACCGTGACTCTGCACTGTGCAATCGCAAGCGCGCTAGAATTTGAATTTGCGTTGAACTGTATTATAAGGGAAAGGGGTAAATATACGAGTAAAAAATATACTCGTGGGCCCACTTAGATTGCACCGTTTCGTAAAATTTTTTTCGCGTAGTCAGCAGGAAACGTGTAAATAAACAAAACAAACGCGTGCACGTTGACGCGTTAAACCAAATCCAAATTCAAGCGCTTGCGGTCGGACGTTGTTAAGGGATTAATTTTAAATGTAAGTGTATAGGATAAAAAATATTGTGTGCACCACGGCACGAAAGTTGTTTTCCGGGCCTCAGGAAGTGGCCAGCCTCGGCTGCGCCTCGCCTGGCCATGTCTTCCTTCGCCCCGGAAAACAACCACTTTCCCGCCTTGGTACACAAAGTACTATTCTCGCAGTTGTTTAAAATGTAAATTGAACAATAGATCCCTTGTTCGCCTTAGTGCCACACGTGTTTCATTTCCCACACTCTCATGTGCAATAATTTACCTAGAAACCAATAAAACTGCCAACCGAAAGCGGACTTAAGAGGGTAAGCTAATCTTGCGCATTGCACTGACAATTGTGGCTGTCGATACTAATTAGTACTTCGAATACGAATTCCAAGGAGGAGATTGGTCAGTATTGTTTCGTGCTTCGACCATAATCGTATTCAAGGATTCTAAGTGTTGTGACGTGCACTTGTTAATTGGATTAATTCGAATTACCAAAGTGAGTGAGTACCTCTGCTTGTATAAGTATTGTATAAATGTAATTCGGCTTTTGTTCATAAAATGGTAAAGGTGTACCCTTTCCTCAGAAACGTTGCGCATATGATTTACGTATGAGATTACGAGTTATTAGTAGATAATTAATCACCGAAGGTACCTTCTTGATTAGGAGTTAGAGATGTTGATAATTAGTAAATTAGACAGTAGATTAGGGGTGTCGAATGCAATGCCCGCAGAATGTGCATTTGTACGTGCAGTTAATTACTGCTTGTCCTTAATTGGGATAGACTAGTTTGCCTGACCACGTGGCACGTTGGAAGGTCTCCGATGGTCTCATTGGGGGTACGTCGGGCATGGGTCCAGGTCCACGTGCCTGTATCAATTTGGCCCGGCGTTGAGTAAAGCCTACTTTCACTCATCGGGAGCTACGTCCGGCTCGACCGGCGTTGGAAAGGCTCCTTAGCGCATGGAGGATACGTGGTAGAGCCAGGTTGCTAGTCTTTGTTGTGCCTGAGATGGCATCTGGACCCGTGTAAAAGGCCAAGCATATTTATCTCACTTGGAGTTACGTTACGGTCGTAAGAGCTCTGGGCCAATTTAAGGCCGCGTAGGGCCGTCTGGTCGGTGGCTGTGCTCGGCACCTCAGGAATGGTTCGGCCCAGCACATCGGGGGAAACGCTCACCATCTGGATTCGTCCTGCCCACCGCGCTGGATGCTCCGTCCATCAGGATTCATCGTGCGGGCCGGCCGATCAGTGTAAGGACCCCGCGTCTGGGTTTTATGAGCCCACCGCGTTGAAAGACTCCTGTTACCCTCGTTCATTGTGAGGGCGGGGCGTTCCAGGGGCAGGCTACGTGTCCGCACCTAGTTATATAATGTGAGGAGGAGAGCCATTGCACTTTATTGCGCATGAGGGTTACGTATTCCAGGCCTCGGCGGGCCCGGGCGTCACAAGGCCACCTTTATGTGAGTTACGGATAGCGTAAGGGCTTCTGGGACATGTGGGCCCGGCTGTAGCCAGCTGACGTGTGAAAGACTCTTTTATAAGGGTAGGGATTGCACAGGGGGATACGTAGCCGGGTGGCATATGGGGTCCTGGACGTAAGAAGATCCTCTGTTCTCGTAACCCCGCTACTAATGTAGCTTGTTTGAGAGTTGTTGAGTAACATGATTAGAGTAGTTAGGCTGAATGCAAGACAGAGGTGCTCCTTGTGTTTCTTGTAATTACAGTGGTCCAGGCCGAGAGCAGCCATGGAGACCAGGTACCGTTAGACACCTAGATGATCCTGACAATTTGGGGTGAGTGATATCAATGGTTACGATTGACTGATTATTGATTATATCGTCATGCCCCTCACATGTGAAAGAATTGATTGATGTTAAGTAAATTATGACATCGATGCATATAAAAAGATGTCACCTTTCTGTAAGCACCATCTCTGCCTGCGAAAATATAGACTGGTGTCTTACAAATCTTATCGTACAATATTTCTTTGTTTGCGTAACTTTACACGCACTTTCAATCACTACACTCAATTGCATTATTACAATTATCACAACTTTAATCAGGTTCCTCTTCGCCGCTCTTTGGTTCTGTAAGCGGGCACAATTTGATTCGCTTAAAGACTCCTTGGGTTGTACGGAGTGTAGCAACACGGACGACACCATCATCAGCAGTAGTCTGCGTGCCCATTGAACTTATCCAAAAACATAAACAATCAACATAAGATCCTTTATTATTTATTAAATTTGGAAGAAGTTGCGATGTCAATGTGGGCAGAAAAAATGAAAAGGGAAAATGTAGGAAAAGAGATATCGACTCTAGTGAATGATATGTTTTAGAATCTAATACATACTATGTTCTATCTATTATAGAAATTCAGTTTTTAGTTTTCAATGAGCTTCCTTTTCGTGGAACTTATTTATAGAAGAGGAAACTAGTTCGTTTAGGAATCTTTTTGAATACACGTTAAGGAATGATACTGTAGCACAAACTTCATTTAAAGGAAATGTAATTTAAAATGTTTAAAATTACGCGGGTATTGCCCGAATGTGCAAACTTGTTTTAGCGAAAGCAGGCGCTGGAAATGTTAGAGGAAAGGGAATTTAATATTTTATATTGCAACGTAGCACAATTAAGAGCAAAATTTACGCACTCTAAAGCCTTGTGGTTTTGGCCAAAATAATTTTTAATTATTCCACGCCAGCGCCTGGTTTAGGTATGAATCTTTCAAGTACATTAGTTACACTAATTTGTTAAAAATTTTAGTTTGTAAAATCACTTTTGTGAAAAAATAAAGTCCACTCTCCTGCCGTCTTCTTTCATCAACCCACCCACCAAGCAACCGGTGCAATACTAAATTAGCACAGTGTTACAAGAGCATACCAAAGAATGCATACTATCTGTCTCCCGAGATACAAAACAATATCATACAATTACTCGCAGATTCTGTTAAAGAAGATATTGTAAACGACGCAAAATCTGCAGATGTACCTTATTTTACCCTTCTGGAAGAAGGGACGAGGGACAAGAACAACCGCGACAATATAGCAATAGGTGTTCGTTATGTATGGAAAAGTATACGAGTCAACATTGTGCATAACATATACAGAAGATTACGATGCTGAAGCGCTTACTTCTTTAACTTTAGATGCGCTTCAGGAATGTGGATGGGACCACAAACACTTGATTAGCCATCGCTACGATGGGGTTTCTGTAATAAGTGGAAGAAAAGACGGTGTAAGTACAGGCAAAAATTCAGAAAAAATTGGGAAGAACTATACCTTCTGTTCATTATTGCAACCATCGATTACATTTGGTTATTATAAAGGCAATAGGAGAAGTAACAGTTGTTAGTAGATTTTTTTAACAATGTACTATGCTATATAATTTTCTAAAAATGGAAACGGTTGCTAAATTATACGAAGGTCGTGCACTTCATAAAAATCTGGAATGTCTCGGGTTTGCTAAGGGAAACGGCATTTTTATGTTTTATGTTTCTGCACATTGTTCTCACCATATTCAACCTTTGGATTGTAACGTTCCCTGTTAACAGTTACAGGTTTAGATAAAAATTAGCAATATGAATGAGAGAGGTCACCATTTGTATATAAATTCAAATTTGCATTTTATCAATTATCAAAAATGCTTGACACAGGAGTCAAGACTCAAATTTGTTATAATCTCCACCACCGGTAAGTGCAACATCTGGCTGACACAGGGCCGGTTTTAAGCGTGAGCGGAGTGGGCGAAAGCCACAGGCGGCAGTCCGCAAGGGCGGCCCGCCGCGCGATGCACGCTACTGGTTTCCAACGTACACAGAAACGCGGCGAGTGGCCATCGAGACCTGCCGACAAATTTATTACTTTGAATCATCAAAATTACTAATTTTCTGAAATTATTACCCCTCTGGTCAAATATTTTGAACAATTTCTATCCGACTGCAAAGAGAACTGCTTCCTCTGCTCCTGTGGAAAGCAATTTGAATGACATCAAAAACAGAATTTTCTCAAATAAAAAGCTACCTCTTCAGTAGTAGACGAGTTATGGAAGGAACAACTAAATTAGTTCAAGCCCAACAATTAAAGGTAGCTAAATCGCAAGCAGACAACAATCATAGTCAATCAGCCACAGCTACAAAAACATGTATTAGTTGCAATAAAAATATTGTTTTTTCCAAAGTGATGGAAAAATGCTTCCTTTGTAAATATTACACTCATGCTACTGCAAACTGCTGCAAATATGTTGATGAGGCATGGGTATGTGTATCATGTTATGACAAAAACAGTTATCAGCGCGAATCAGTTAAAGAAAAATGAGAAATAGAGAATTGGAGAGGAGAGGCAAGTCCTTGTAAAAGACCTAGATCATCTTATCTGAAAAAAAATTGTGAATGGGCGGCAACCGACCTTTCGCAAAAATGCAACGTCATTCCTATAGCACTACTCCGTAATGGAAATACGTCGTCGTTAAAACCGGTAAGAACAGGAGGAAGCGGTTATATAACTACGAATACATGCGGTTTTGACTCAATTATTCAAATTTTGGCGAGCTCTTATTGTGACAGTGTACACTTCCAACAATACCTTTCCGAAAAAATTGCAATATATACAAATTGGTACTGAATTTATTACAAACACAATTAAACAACAAAACCTACAAACTTCACACAGACATTTTAAAAATGATTTTTACTCCGCAGAAAACTCAAAGTAACCGCATGTTGTTGGCAACAGAATGCACAGTAGAATCCTTAATACGGAAGTTGTGTGGCATTGAGGAATTGGACTTTTCAGTTAGGGAGTTAATAAGATGCACACTGTGCAAAAATACTCTTACCAATAATGTTGCAGTTCTTGTTACACATTTACATTCTGAAACTTCACTTTACGGATTGGAAAATCTCTTGGATTCAAACATATCAGAAAGAAGTAACTCACTTCACTCACTATGGAAAATGAATATGATAAACGTACCAGTTATACTTCTACTATTAAAATACAATTTTCATAAATTTTCTTTATGATAACATTTTTACTTGAGTTACGTACTATTCTTGATTAAATAAATGGAGATAAGTACTTTTCACAAAACAAAGATCAATACTATCATTACTACCAAGCGTGGCAATAATGAATTAATAAACTACCAATTTCAAAAAAAATTTATTGAAAAAGGATATCTAAATAACTGCAATACTAAGGCTCGTATGGTTTATAGGTGAGGTAAATCATCATAAAATTTATGATAATCCTGTGGTAAGGATGTCTTAAGAATTTGTAAATGTTCATACTTTTCTTTTTTGATTTTCAATCTGGAATTGTACAAGGTTGGTATTTCACAAAAAGACAGATTCATCACTTTTCGGTCAATCCTGGCTGGCAAAGGTTCCAGTCTTCTTCTGAATGACGAAGTTTAAAAAATATTGTATCTGAAGTGTATTTAATACCTTTGATATCATTTACAGTAGGATCGCCAGCTACTTTTCCAGGCCTTATCGACTTTAGGTAACGCAAATTTGTTTCGATATTCTTGAAGAAAGAATAATTCAAGTATTCGACTTGGTACGGGGATTTGGAACATGCAGACCTACAAATTGTAACATAATCTGCAGGAAAGTTAATCACAGCTTTTCGAAGTTTTCTCTCAATGCATGAATGCATGCTATCAACTTCCATTTGGGTATGTCCTTTTTGTAAGTATTTTTGCATGATAACGACGTTTTTGTCTTTAGCTAAATTAAAAAGAGCATTGGAGAGAGTCACGTTTCTGTTTTGATATCCACATCCATCGCTCCATATGATATATCACCAGTCTTACTATCAGGATTATCTGATATAAATTTCTCAAAAAAATCACAAAGAATTGTTGCGAACTCATTCGATCCCAAACCTCCTTCACTTTCATGCCAAAGCTAACAATACCCCTTTTTGCGCTTAATATCATAAATAGTGTAGTTGTGAGCAATCAATTTTGTTTTATAGTATAGTGTTGATACGGTAGACTTCGGGCTTAATAAGACGGATTGTAAATCTACTGTGAACACATTGCTTGAAGACTCTTTCTCTTGTCTTGCCTCTTTCTTTAGTTCAACATGAGTATTATAATCAGCAGGTTGCAGGTTTTTTGTCACAAAAGCGACACAAATGTCACATTTATCTTCTTAGGTTGATACAATGATAAATTTTGTTTATCAAATTGGTATAAGAAGGTAGTCAAACTTAATGGTTGTTCATTATTCTCTCTACAAAAAGTATTCTTGTAGAATTTATTTAAATCACATTTTGAAGCCCACATTGGTTCCAAATATAGTTTTGTAGTACATGCCCTACAATAGTGTGATTCTAATTTTGGGATTTGTTCAAAAAAAGTTGTCAAGGATCTCTGACTGTTTCCAGCGTATCTTGTTCCATGTTGTTTTTTTAGCTCTATTCCCATCTTCTGCTTCAGAAATATTATGCTTCGTCCATTTTTTAATTGCCCACTCCCCAACACCCAGTGTGTTGGGATACATCAGTTTACATACTCTAAGATTTCCATTGGCACTTTTTAAATAAAATTCGTTTGAAAATTGCCGTCTTGACGTATCTTGTACGTCTCTTTTTCTAGCAGTGAGCCTTTGTACTACAAGAGAGCTAACGAAAACTGTGTGACATCGTGATTGTGTTTGTCAGGATTCTCTGAAAAATCGTCGAATGCGTTAAGTCCATTATACTACCCAAAACATCAATCAGGAAAAGTGCGTAACTCCAGTAATAATTTAACTTACATAAAATGGCAATTTAACAGCTACAGAATTACTGCATTCAATAGAAACTNAATGCGTACAGTTGAGACTAAATAATATTTTGGTGACGCAAATATATCATTCTTTCATTTAAATATTGTGCTGTTAAGGGGAATTTCCGTAATATTATCCACAATATCAAAAATTAAATATATAATAAAAATGCAATATGAATATAATTCATTTATTTAGAACTTTTTAGAAACAAATCAGAACCCAGTCATAACGTACGGGGTTTTTGGTATCTAGAGGGCCAAAATCGTAATTTTTAAGATTTTTATTTACATACAACCTTTTATTTTGGCTCTCCATAGTTACCGGGCACCCTATGTACAAGAAATAGATATAAGTATAAAAAATTAAAAATATAAAATTCCACATATGATAAAGGAATAAGAACTGTGAGGAAACGAAATTAAGGGTAAGGAAATAATCTGCCCAAAACCAGTAAATGAGATTTCCCCCAGATATTTCTACTTAATTTCGCCCCTCCTAATCGTCTTCCCCACCAGAGCTCAAATATATATATATACCTGTGTCCGTCCAGTCCAGTAACTTTTGCTTTTGCTTCTACCTTTACCAGTGCCTTTTGCTATTAACCAGCCTTATTTACCTGTGATTTATTCCTATATAATTTGTACCCTTAACCGTCGTTCCAGTACCTGTAAAACCTTTGTTAACCTGCACCCCTGTCGTTCCCTGTGTTGAGTGTGTTGCCGTTAGCCCTAGGGGGTTAATCGTAATTAGCCGTCGAGGTGAGTGAGTGTTTATAGTGTCATTAAAACAACAATCTTTCAACCCTTTATTAAACGTGCAAGCTGTTACCTTTATTACTCTGACCAGTTCCCAATTCCCCGAGTAATTCCAGTTCCTAGGTGTACTCCCTAGCGAACGGGTTACTACAACAAGTATTCCGCAAGATTACCAGCTACTCTCCATACGTTCCTACCTGTCCGTGTCTTCCAAAACGAAATCGGAGCGTGACTCCTGGTTTTATACGAAGTACACCTCCGTAGTATCTTCCCGTCGCCCCGTCCTGCCTGAACCTGGGGCACAGTGCTCCGGCCTACGTTAACCATAAGGGGCTGAAAGCCGTCACGTGAAAGGTTAGTTGTTACAGTTCGAACACTCACCCCGCAGGTTCTGTTGGTTACCTCGTTCGGGTGGCGCAGCCCTCAATCCCGCATCAATTAATTTGTTACATTCTAGACAGCACTGCACGTGGAAATTAACCTACAGTCCGACACGGAAACGGCATTGACAGCGAACCAGCTGACACGCTGGGACCAGATAACTACCGGCAGATGGCAGTACTCCTAAAGTAAATACGAGGACTGCTCCGGAAATCTTTTATATTATTTTATTTTGTATATATATATTTTTATTTCTATTTAGACAATACACTTTTAATTTTCTTTGCTCGCCAATTATTTCCCGACGCTACCCGAGGCTGTGGGCAAAAGCCGGAACGTACCCAGGGTTGCTCACAAACTATTAAAATTAAACTTTACATAGGTACCTGTTCGCGCAAAAAGATGTAACAATCAACTAAACACCAAATAAAGTGAAATAAACACAGAACGTGATCTTAACCTTAACTAAACAATGACGGTAATGACAGTTACGCAGTTTTCTTATTTTAATATAATGGACTGGAGTCACGCAGTTTGAACATTGTAAAATACAACCAAATATAAGTTTTTTCTGGAGATAGGAGTATTACTAGGAGATAGAATGATGAATTCTTCACTAGATGGCATAAAAATCCCAATTTTCGATTTTTATGGAGTTACGCAGTTTACAAATGAGGCCGACGATATGTAACAGATGGTGCCGACATATTCTTTTTAAAATAGTTAACAAATATTTGTAAAGTAAAATGAACTATTTTATATACAATTTGTGCTGGGTTTTTTAAGTACATACTGTGTTTTTCTTTGGAATAATCACGTTCCAGTAGTTTTGCCACAAATTGTAAAACACCACTTTCCGCCCCTTTCAACCCTCGGGATTTCATCCGCGGAATAATTCAGCTGTTTTAATTATTTTTCCCTAATTTCTAATCATTTCACATGCATGAAAAACTCGGTTTGAACCGGTAACTAATTTTTTTTGTCAAAAAATGTTATATAGCCTGGACCATTGAATATAAGGTGCTTATTCAATGGTACCACCCTACCTAATTAGTAATTACTTATAATGAAAGTCCGCATTCTTACATTAACTCTGATATTAATTACTGAGGTCATTAATGTGCCTAAATAACCAGATCCTTATATGGAGCTAGTTAAAGTTTGATTGTTTATTATGAAAAGATAATGGTCCTGTTCTTGTTGTTTTTTTTATTACATTAAACTACATTTTTTAATTTATTTATTGTTCCTTATGATCTTACATTTCAGATTGATCCTCCCTTACATAATATTGTTATTGGCATTGAATAAAAGTTTATTCAATATTTTAATCTAGTTTATTCAAACTCAAAGCGCTTGCCAAAAATTTGGCAACGTTGGAATTTTAAAGCAGTAAAGAAATCTGCAAAGTCGGTAACTAGCTTTAAATTTGTGGTTCACGTTCCCCCACAACAGAGGGACGACAGAATCCTGGGTAGATTTTCTTATTTCATCAGTTAACACGGGCGTTATACTTCTTTAAGGTGCTTATTAGTTAGAGTCAATATTTCATTACATTACAGGATCTTCTGGACGAGTCACACGGACAGGGACAACAAATTGACAATTTCTGAAATCGCTACAGTGGTAACTACCCTCAGAGTAAGAAAAAGTTATACATGATTCAAATAATTCATGTAGTATGACAACTAACAATACGCTGCAACAAAACTCTACTTCACTAGACCAAAGTGATTCGAACGATCCTGCAGATTACTTTCGTTTTCGTGACGTGTTAACTGAAGAACAACGTGAGTTCTGGATTTACAAGAGACCTGAATTTTTCCAAAATAAAAACTCTGACTTTTCCGCGGCATCCAGAATTTATAAAGATGCAAACGGCAGGTCTATCAGGCGGAATTTCAACAACACGCTGTTATCATCGTAAATTAAAAATCCATGAAACTGTAGAAAGGAAATGGTTGATATTATCCCCTATACAAAAATGTGTGTTTTGTTTTTCATGCTGTTTATTTAAACGTTGTAGTGTTCACCAAGTGGATGCAACGATTGGAAAGACATTCGCCACATTTTGTCAGAAAACAGTTTAGCACATAGGCAATCAATGATGACTTATCTGACACGAAGTAAAGTCACAGGTCGAGTAGATACAGATTTACTAGCTCAATATACAAAAGAAGCGGATCACTGGAAAGAAGTCCTTAAAAGAATTGTGGCAGTTGTAAAGTTTCTGGCTTCTAGAGGACTGCCGTTTCGCGATGGAAACGAAACGCTTGGGTCTGTCAACAACGGAAATTATTAAGCGAATTTGATCCATTTCTTGCGAATCACCTACAAAAGTATGGTAATCCGGGCAAAGGACACATTTCGTATCTATCTGCGAATATTTGCAACGAGTTTATCGAGTTAATGGGAAAAACAGGTTTTATTGAAAATTATAACGGAAGTAAAATTGGCAAAATATTTTTCAATAAGCGTTGATAGTACTCCCGATCTATCTCACGTTTACCAGTTGACTTTCATCTTTCCATAAGTAAAGGAACATGAGCCAATTGAAAGATTTTTGAAATTCATACCTATCGAGGGGCACAAATCTCATCAGAAACCGTCTTGACTTTTTTGAAAACCTTGATATTCCTAAATCCTATACAAGATTGTAGAGGTCAAACTTACGATAACGCATCCAATATGTCAGGGAGATACTCCGGTTTGCAAGCAAGACTCAAAGAGAAATGTGAATTTACCAGCTTTGTGCCATGTTCAGCACATTCTCTTAACTTGGCAGAGTGGCAAGAGGACTGTTCAATTTTTTTTCAAATTCTACTCATCGGTGGAATAAATTGACCAAATTAGGGGGGGGGGGGGGGGGAAGTACTTAAAGTTTTCTCTGAAATCCGATGGTCTGCACGAGCAGATGCAGTAAGCACGTTACACCAAGGACACAAACAAATTATAGATAGATAGATAAAACCAATGTCAATCTTCAGAAAGCAACAATGACAATGGACGTTGCAATAAATTTGTTAACTTCTCTTGCCAATTTTATTGATACTCTAAGGAATAATAGAGTCGGCCGCCAAGGCAAAATGTCCGGAAGCAAAGATTATCTTCAAAGAAGAACAGTTAGACGCTCACGTATTACATTTTTTGACGGCCATGCGCCCTCTGTGCAACTAAATGGCAAAGACAAATTCAAAGCAGAGACTTTTCTCCCAGTAATTGATACTTTAACCGTCCATCTAAAACGGCGAACGGAATCGTATAAAGAAATTAATAAACGGTTTGCTTTTTTATCACATTTAAAAAGTTTCAATTCGGAGTTGGAACCGGAAGAGTTGGAAAATAGTTGCATGGAATTTGCAAAATTTTATCATGAGATCCTTTTTCTGAATTCCGTATCTTCCAAACAAAGGGGCCCCATACATTTTGGTGCCCAGGGCCTCCAATTGGTTAAAGACGGCCCTACAAGAAATATCCTCATTCAAATATTGTTTGTATATAAACCTCCAGACAACAAGAACGCTCGACAATCTCTTGGCGACTTGCAAGCACAAAAATGTAGTACTAGTAGAAGACGTAACCCTTGGGGAAATTCCAGAAGACATATTGCACGAGTCCCTTGTTGATCGCGTTCGAATATGAGAAACGTCAATGACCTCTCGACAAGAAGTGTGTGTTAACTATACATTCGCATTCTTAGAACATATTGTTTTAAGTAAATATTGTTTAAATAAACACACAAGATCAAAAATAATAATAGCTAATATAAATTATTACCTGATATCCACGTTCCATTAAATTTTGCAGGAGGTGGAAGTTTTCCTAAAATTTCCTCTATGGTTGGTTTTCTACCTCTAATTCTTGGCCCTTCTTCGGGGGGCGACACCAGCACTATGCTAAATACTATTAGTCCTAAAACTGCTACTATGACAAGTAGGGCTATGAAGATTCCACGCCAGTTCCTTTCACTAGGCGAACTTACGACCAATTCCTGTAACAAAAGAAAATATTGTTCAAGCGTTATACCGGAAGAATCAATGTAATGATTAGTTACCAACAATTGGGGGTTACTTAGTCGCTTGATAATTATTCTTTCGTTTCTCAATTTTTGTTATTATTTGTGGATTATTAACTAATTTGTAATTTTATGAGATCAAAATGTAAAAATTAAACAGTTATTTAGATCACCTTTCTGATATGGCTCAACACACCTTTAATATTCCTAATTTTCTTAAAATAACACGATTTTATGTTCAAAAATGTGACTTTATTATGGATAAATACAGTTATTTTTTGAAAATTTATGTATTTACATATTTCTTAATGTATGTCTTGATTATGATGGTGCGCTGATATGCATCTAGGTTTAAATACAAAATACATGAAGAGGAATCCTTTGTGTCACAAAACAACCGGCACCCAATTATTTACTGTCACAGTTGTGGTACTTGAGCCCTCAAAGTGGTCCCGCACACCTCGCCCGTAATTTCTCCCTCTCTTGCATGCCGTTAAGCAGCGTCATAATCTTCATAATATCCAAAACTGTATCTATTTTTAGTGTTAAGTATATTCCATAAAATCTATTACATTGTAACCAAAAAGAGTAATTCTGTAACTATGCCGAAAGCAACAAATTTCTTTGTATTCCTATAAAATGTGAGTTATCTCAATTATTAATGTTTTTATTGTTGGAAAACTTACACATTAGTTTGTATCAAATTTACAAAATATGCTTAATGGATGTTACTTCCGGACGTCCCAATCGCCCTTTGTGAGTACCTCCTACAACTCTCCGCTCGAGAGATATGAGGAATAATAACCGATGACGATAAGACGTCGAGGAGGAGGACTGTGGCTGGTACAAATTAATTCCATTCGTTGAGATCTTTCATTAGAGTACTGATACGCAAATCCTACTATTAAAAAGTATTGGTCCAGAATATGCGTTGGTTTGATAAGAGACACGCTAACGGACTATTTTGATTAATTGAATTTCATTAAAGGACAAGAGAGGGAATTTTTGTTTCTGTCTGGTTATCGATAAAAGCACACTCTTCGGGGTTTTTATTGGTGTAATATTTTAAATTCAAATTTGAGCTGTTGATATATCTTATATCTTAAGAATAATTACGGATGCAA